CCACCCCTTTCGCTCCGACTTATCGGGGATATACCACTGCCAGATCTTCTGATCGCCAGAGGGGGTCAATTCCCCGAACAACCGGAGGCCTTCAAATATACCAAACGACCTATATCCCACCTTGGGACTGAACATGTTTTGACATTCGTTTATGTCTTTACATGTAAGAACTGCATATGTGGTTCGCTACTACCAGATCTTTGAAGACACAACGCGGATACTTTATTTCCCGCTACGCCACGGATGACTTCAATATCATTGCCAGAGAATTCACCGAAGACCAGGGACAGCGGGCAAGTCGTGATCAACATATAAAGAAAGCTATCGCCGAGCACCCAGACTGCAGGATGCCGAATTTTTTTGAACAACTCTTCTGCTCTGACGACACCAAGCGCAAACGAGACGAATCCCTTGACAGTTATATCGCTCGCAAGCGAGTGCTCCCCCGAAAACTCCAAAACACACATGAGCATGCCAGGGGAATTGAAACGGCGCATGCCCCCCCAGAGAATGCAAGCTCACTGAAGTGGCTTGGGCTACGGTGAAGCACTGGACTGAGGAACCATTGACTTGGTGTTTGAGAAGCTTCGGAAGCTTGAACGACCACCACCGTCAGGTCAAGGCGGCCATCGTATCCCTGGAACGAGTCCCGCCTTACATTTCGTCGGTTACCGCGGAGACGAAGACGGGCATGTGGAGCAGGAGTCTGATAAAGATGACCTCCACTGGGCTCCTTCATCATGGACCAGTCTCTGAATATGTTGCCCGAGTCCAATGAGGATGGCGAGATCCTGATTGAGGCTCTCAAGTACATGGATGACGAAAGCGTGTTCTTCGTTGCCGGGGGCATGCCTGGGGGTGCGATTCGGGGTGAAGATGAGGTTGTCGCCATCCACTCCAACTGCAGTCACGTACGACAGCATTTACAAACGCGGAAGCTTGGGCGAGGCTGTCTCTTCTCAAGCGTTCCCCGGCCACCGCGAGGGAACACGTCGAGGGAGGCGAGCTGGACGTGCGCGACCGAAGCGGCGGACCAAAAATATGTGGATGAATCGTTCGAAGTGCGCCCGACGCGGGGAGATGGGGCACTGGGCCCGGGACAGTGCGAACGAGCCAGACAAGCAAGGGCGCGCGCGGCAAGCGGGCTTCGGCAGTTTCCACGCTGTTCCCCTCGAAGCAGACGGCGCCCTGCATGATGTCTGCTAACGGGATCCCGCGGTCCAGTCTGGAGTTAGTTCTCTTGCCTTTTCTATCATTGCGACTGCTGATACTGGTGAACACGTTTTCAATGGGCAAGGGGCTTCTCTGGGTTCGGCCAAGTGGATGTTGGAGCTCAGCATGGAGTCTGTGGCAACGATAAATGTGTTAAACTTGTTGGATGTCTTGGAGATGCGCACGGCTTGAGACCAGCACAGATACCTACTCCTGAAATTGACGCCACGGGCGTTGGAGGATCTACCAAATCTCTCTCCAGCTGGACCCTGCATGTTGCCGCGGAGAAGAACTGCGGTGCTCTCGCGGTGCATCTGATTGCTTGTGACGTGCCCTTAGTGCTTCCAGTGGAGATGCTCGGGCGTCTCGGCGCGGTTCCTGACCCCCCGGGGTGGCGGCGCCATCAACTGGGCGGCGCTCGACGGCAGTCGATCGAGGGCGCGCGAGGCAGGGATAGGCATGCGCATTGCGATGCATATCTGGTTTTCCCGACGACGGCTGGCAGAGCAGAGAACATAAAACACCGAAAAGTCTCTCCGATGACTCAGGGATATTCCACCAGGTCGTCGAGCCCGAGGACGCTGCGTTCTACGTGGGTCCGCGGGCACCCTCAGCCCAAACCCGCTTTTCCCAGCCAGCTCCCGCCCCCCCCCCCCCCCCCTGGCACTTCGCGCGACGCTGACTCGCGCGGGGCGCGTCCTCGCTGGGTCCGCAGCCGGACCTTCCAGGCGCCGGCAGGTACAGCCAGTCTTTGATGTCCCCAGGGGAGCGGATGTGGAGGTGCATTCTCATGTGTCTGAAGCGTCTCCCCATCTTGGACCACGTGGCCACGGGGCGCCGCGCGGGGGCGCGCGGCGGCGCGACCGCCTCCGAACCCCCAGGAGTCTGGACCACGAGGCTGCGGCATCCGCGCCTCGTCCCCGTGATCCGAGGCCTTTGACTAATGTCCTGACGATCTCCGGCGGGGGGCGTTCCGCGGCGGGCGGGAGGCTGGGGCGGCGCGGCACGGGCGCCGCGGCGACCGATCAGGCCGCGCACAGGCACTCCGAGGAGGCCGCTCGCCATCGTGGCAACAACGAGACCCTCTTGTGGGCGCGCGACGATTGCCAGACGCGCTGGACGAGGTACCCCGTCGAGGGCTTCATCGGCACGGGCGGGCCAGCCCACCTGGAGCGGGCGCCGTTCGGGTTACGAGAAGGACTTCCAGCGTTGCGAGCGGCGCATGGGGACTCGTGAGGCAGGCGCGCCAATGACGCGTCGAGGAGTCACGCGTCTGGCAATTTTCGCGGCAGAACGCGAGATGCACGAATCCACCATGGACGGGGGCGGTTTCGAGATGATCGGGGGGGAAACCGACGTCCGATGGATTCGCCGGCAAAAGATGTCTTCGATGGTCGCGGGGCGCATGTCCGAGTGCATCGCGATCCCCGCGACGGGCTCTTCGACTCTGCTGGCTCCATCGGCTCACCTTCTGCATGCGATATGACCGAAGAGTGGATGATAGCGGTTGTCTACTCAGATGGTACCACCGAATTCTTCCAGGATGCCTGGTCTGACCCCTCTCGCGACTGCTCCTTGTCCGATAGATGGACTGGCCGCGCCCTCTTTGATTGCGGGGCCGCTGCCATCGCGACGTTCGCTGGCGCGCAGCCGGCGAGCATCTGTCTTAGGAGCACTTGTCTCAGCCAGGTTGGGCAACCTGTTTCTCCAGATGCTACCGCTGTGAACCTTGCTGGTCCAGCGCGTGGCAAGCGCGGGCCAGTGCTCGGAGGTGCCCCAGGTGGTTCGTGGCAGCCCGCCACTTTGCAGGATTCGGTTGATGCGGCCGAGGCTCGCGAGGGAAAATGGCAGTTGATCATCGCAGACCACAAGCGGGTCTTGCACTGCATCTTCGCAGCCCGATGAGGACGGCAGTGGCACGATGTCCTATCAATTGGTTGAACAGATCAAGCAGACACTCCCCGTGGACCATACCAGTCTCAGTCGTCCTTTGGAAGCCGCTCCTGAAGAAGATGGGCCTGGAGAGAGTCTCGTTGATGGCCCCGGCGCTGAACCTCTCAGCGATGACGCTCAACCCGACTGGACACCTACTGCAGACCAGTTGACCGATCTCAATTTGCCCGCGATAGTTCCAGCCATCTTGGGAGTCGAGATTTCGTTTCACTTCTCAGACGGGGCAACATTAGGCTTGAAGTAGCATGTTGGGTACTGAAGAACTTCGAGTGCGACGATTGCGATGCGCCCAGGCGATTCTATGCTCGCCGCCTTGCTGACATTCCGAAGTCGTATCGATTCAATCCTGTTGTTGGTGTAGATGTGGTTGAAGTAAACTGTCCACCTCATGACGCACCGCACTGTTGTAACAGTATCATATGTTGTTGCACTTCTATAGTTGGTTGGACATGTGGGGTCAGGGGAGGTTTGGGTAGGTAGTATGGCGGGCATATGAACGCACATGGGCACGCGTTTTGCATGCCAGAAGTTGTTGTTGTGCATCGTGGAACAGAGTTCCAAGGGACGCCTGCCTATCGCATTCACAACAACGGCGCGTGCCAATTGCTTACGGATGCATATTCTCCATGGCGAAACGGTCGAGCGGAAAGTGCATGGAACTAGTGGGCACTACACGTCAGTGTAGCTTGTCATGAAGTGGCTCCGGATAGAGCGGCCGAATGGTCTGCCATTGGGGGGTTGCGTTGTTCTGTCCGGAACCCTTACCATAATCGGAACGGTGTCTCACTTATACAACGGGCTGTCGGTTTCACACGACGCCTGCCAGCGACGGTGCTCTCCGATGACCCCACAGATCCCGAGTATTTGTCCACCGATTTGGTACAAGATGTCCACCGAGCTGAAGACCGACGCCGAGCCGTTATGAAAACGACTATTTCGAGTCATCCGCGCACGACACCGTATGCCGCCAACCTCTATTGAAGGCCAACTCGTATTTGTGTGGAGACGCGGACAAGGCGGCTCGGGAAAATAGTTTCGGTTTGGTATGATGATCCTACATCTTGCCGGTGGGGCTTGAATCAACCTGCGTGGAACGCGGTGGCGTGTGTCAAATGAACAATGCGTAGTGCCACGCAAGATAAGAGTAGAGGCGCCAATCTTGTCAATCGTTATCTTCGCGACTTCCAGATTGATCTCGAGCGCGCGCGTGGTGTTTGTCGCTATGTCGACGTAGCTAGAGAGGGCCATCCCATGTTCCTTGGATATGAACTTCTACGCGACCCTGAAGCGGCAAAGGCCGATGACATCCCCGACGACTCAGACATTGATGCCGATCGGGAGCCGCAGCCGCCAACGCCAGAATAACCGGAAACGCAACCGATGGCGGAAAACGATGACGAACTTGGACTGGCACGCGCAGTGCCCCAGAGCGACGCTCGACAAGTGCGACTTCGTTTAGACGCCGCATCCTCTACCGAGCCGCGGAGCGAGCCAGGCTCTAGACAACCCTCCGCGGCAGAGGCGCTGGGGGGGACCTCCAGCGCCGCCGCGCGAGGCGGCATCGTATTTTCCGCCGCCAGTGCCGACTACGATTGCAGCCCCTGGCCATCCATTCGCGGACTCTGCAGGTGAGCTGGTTGCCACTTACCCACTGTCGGTCCCCCTCAAAGAGAGAGAGAGGGAGAGAGAGAAAGAGAGAGAAACAAAAAGCGAGAGAGAGAGAGAGAGAGAAAACAAAAAGAGAGAGAGAGAGGGAGAGAGTGAGTGAGAAAGAGAGAAAGAGAGAGAGGACGGGAGGAGAGGGGCGCACACCTCCGCTGCTGCGCTTCCCGCAGGAGGCGCGGCAGGCCACGCTGCGGCAGCTGCTGGGCCTGGAGAGGCCGCCGGACTGCCTCTGTGGCCTGCCCAGGTTCCTCAGGACACCGGCGGCTCGGGTGTTCGAATCGCAGGAGGGATTGTTCCCGACCGTCTTGTGGTGTTGGGTCCTCGTTTTGAAGAGAGCGCCCCGCGTCCCACCTCTGCTCTCCTCCGTCCTCCCCCTCCTCCTCCCCCTTCTCCCTCCTCGGCCCCAGAGGGAGCTCCACCGAAAGTCCCAGTGGCGCAGTTCGCGACCTTCCCTCGTTGTGAATCCGCAGCGCCGCGCGTCTGCTCCTGCAGCCAGAGTTAGCCGTCCCGATGCGATCTTCCGCACAGGGCTGGAACATATGGATCGGTAATTGAGAGGTCTCCCACCCAAGGTCCAAGGTCTTCATTGCGTGTTTTTTCACCAACCCTCCTGAGTGTGTGGGATCCTCGTCCTGAATCTGCAGCGCCGCGGTTCTCTTTCCTTCCGTCCTTCCTTCCTCTCCCTCCTCCTCCTCCTCCTCCTCCTCCTCCTCCTCCTCCTCCTCTTCCCTCGTCTCATCGCTGCCGCTCTTGCTGATTTTATTACACCCGTCTCGGCACAACCAGTACGCGGTTCGTGCCCCACTGGGAGTCCCACTTAGGTCCCCAATGGGGGGGGGTCCACATGGCGTCCTCGCGCATATTTCGGCACACCCCTCACACGCCTCCTGCCCTCCCAGGGAGCTCCACCTGTGGCTCCGATGGCCCTACCGTGGGTATCCACATGGCGTCCCCGCGTTCCTTTCGGCGCACGACACGCGTTTCATGCCTTAGTGCCCGCACAGGGAGCTCCACCGACTGCCCCGGCGGGGGTGTCCGCATGGCTCTCCGCGCCCGCTTCGTGCCCAGACAGGGGGGGCCCAACAGGTGGCTCCACGCCACGGCGTCCCCGCGCTCATGCCTGTTTCGGCACACCCTTTATACGCTTCCTGCCCCCATAAGAGGCTCGACCTGTGGCCCCAACGGGAGTGACCACGTAGTTTCCCCGCGCCCATTTTCGGCGAACCCTTGGCGCGGAGGGTCCCGAATAATTATGGAGTTCCACATGTGGCCCTTGTGGAGGTATTCGAGTGCCGTTCCCGCGATCTTGCATGTGGGCGTCGTATAGCGTGCGGCGCTGTCCGCCGCCCACTTCCCATCCTGTCCGCAGCGGCAGCGTTTGACACCCGATCATCCGCAGCGCTCAGCGTGTCGCGCTGTTCCGTGATATCGCGGGTGATGTAGCGCGCGGCGTTGTTAAGTTATTTCTTTTTTCCACATGTTTGTTTTTCCCTCCCTGCTGCTGCTCTGCGTCGCGTTCATAGCCCACCGTGGCGATCGATGTGTGGGAGTTCGCGCGTGACCGGTGGACTTTGCGCGCGGTGAGACAGTGTGTGGTGAAGGTGCCAGGGAGATTGCAGATCCTTCAACATGTATTCGCTGTTTCGCCTAACGATGGCTTTGTTACGAGCTATAGTGCACAGCGCACTTCAGCCATTCCCAGAGACATCGGTTGAAGCGTATGGTGATTGTCTGTCTCTATTTTCCCTCACACATCCTACTCTACTCCTCCTCCTAGCCCTCTTCCTCTTCATTCTCCTCTTCCCTCCTCCAAACGTCGCAGCTCCTCATTGTCTGCTTTCCTCCTCAACCAATCGTTGCCGCCCTTGTCGCTTTTGTTGCACCTTTTTCGGTGCCACACCCCGCGCAAGTGTCATGACCCCCCCTGGGAGCTCCACCTCTGGCCCCAGCGCGGTTGAGCACATGCCGTCCCCCCTGTCATTCCAGTGCACCCTCAAACCGTTCCTGCCCCCGTAGCTCCTGATTTTCCGTTTGCCTCCTCATCCGGTCGTGGTTGTTGTTTTTGTTGTTGATTCTGTTAACAGCCATTTCGGCACAACGTTTCGCGTCTCCCTGGGAGCGGAGCTCCACCTGGGGCCCAAATTCAGGGTGTCCACATGGCGTCAACGCGCATCTGTCGGCGCACCCCTTACACGCCTCAAGCCCTCCCAGAGAGCTCCACCTGTGGCACCAGTTGGGTTGCGTTCCCGCACCCGTTTCGACACACTCTTTCCCCGCTTCATGGCTCCCATCGGAGGCTCGACCTGTGGCCCCAACGGGAGTGACCAGGCAGTTCCCCCGCGCCCATTTCGGCGAACCCTTGGCGCGGAGGGTCCCGAATATGGAATTTCACATGTGGCCCTTGTGTAGGTATTCGCGTGCCGTTCCCGCGATGTTACATCACAGTGCGCAGGGCTTTGGGGCGTCGTGTAGCGTGCGGCGCTGCCCGCCGCCCACTTCCCATCCTGTCCGCAGCGGCAACCTGCCCGCTTGACACCCGATCATCCGCAGCGCTCCGCGTGTCGCACTGTTCCGTAATATCGCGGGTGATGTAGCGCGCTGCGTTGTTGCGTTATCCACCATTCCACGTCTCTGTTTTCTTCTCCCTGCATCTGTCCTGCTCCGCGTCGCGTTCGTCGCCCCAATGGCGAATCGATGTGTGAGAGTTCGCGCGTGACTGTAGAACGTTGCGCGCGGCAAGACAGTGTTTGGTTAAGGTGCTGGGGAGATTGCAGATCGTTCGACATGTCTTCGCTGTTTCGCCTAACGATGGCTTTGTTACAAGCTATAGTGCACAGCGCACTTCAGCCATTCCCAGAGACATCGGTTGAAGCGGATGGTGATTGTCTGTCTCTCGTTCCTCTCTCTACTCGTCCTAATCTCTACTCCTCCTCCTATCCCTCTTCCTCTTCATTCTCCTCTTCCCTCCTCCAAACGTCGCAGCTCCTCATTGTCTGCTTTCCTCCTCAACCAATCGTTGCCGCCCTTGTTGCTTTTGTTGCACCTTTTTCGGTGCCACACCCCGCGCAAGTGTCATGACCCCCCCTGGAAGCTCCACCTCTGGCCCCAGCGCGGTTGAGCACATGCCGTCCCCCCTTTCATTCCAGTGCACCCTCAAACCGTTCCTGCCCCCGTAGGAGGCTGCGTCTGTGGTTCCAAGCAGGGATGACCACATGTCGTCTTCCCGCCCATTCCAGCGCACACCTCACACGCTTCCTGTCCCGATAGAGGAAGCTCAACCTATGGCCCCACCAGAGGTGACCATATGGCGCCCCCCCGACCCATTTCGGTGCACCCTTCACACGTGTCCCGCCCCCATAGGAGGCTCCATCTATGGCCCCAGCGGGGGTGACCACTTCGCGTCCCCCCCCATTTCAGCGCACCCATCATTCACACGGGAAGCTCCACCTGTGGCCCCAGCTGGTGTGAGCACGTGTGGCGTCCCCCCCCCGTTCCGATGCACTCCATCACGCGTTGCTTGCACCTCTCAGGAGGCTCCATACGTGGCCCCAGCAGGGGTGACCACACAGAGCCCCCCCCGCTCATTTCAGCGCACCCTTCTCGCAGTGCCTGCCCCTCGTAGGGAGGCTCCACCTTCTGGACACACGGGGTTGGACCATACATGACTTCCGCCCGCCCATTTCGGCGCACCACTCAATCTTTTCCTGCCCCAGGACGTCCATCCATCAGAGCGCGGAGGGAGACCTGCCCCGCCCGCGCCCGCTGCCACCGCCGCCAGGGCCGCCGCCAAACCATGAGGAGTATCGACGGAGCGCTGGACCTGGTCGAGATCTCCATGTCGGCATCTGCGCGGCGGCACCGACCACCTCGCGGCACTGGGGGCGGTGGCCGAGGTTCTGGAGGTGACCCTGGACCAGGCAGGGCGCGACCTCCGCGGGGGGGTGGCACGCCGGGCCGCCTCCGGGGCGGTGGGGGCCGACGTCCAGCAGGCCCTGGCCGCGAGGCGTTGCGGTGACCTGGACACAGCAGAGGCGCCGCTCCCACGCGCAAGTTCTCGGAGCCGACCGTCGGGTCGGAGGGGACTTACGGCACGAGGAGATCACGAGTTGACGCGAGATCTGTTCGGTGCGGGCTCGGGCCAACGCCAGCCGCGGGGTTGCTAGCTACCCGGGGCCAGGATGCGGAGCCTCACGCCTGACGTAGACCGAAACCTTCTGCCGGCGGGAGGCGGGGCGGTTAGCCGAGGCCCTGGGCGCCCGCTGCCGGGGGGCGACCCTGGAGGCGAACGCGCGGGAGGCCCGGATGGTGACGGCGCCCCACTGGGGGTCGCTGCGCCAGAGATCGCGAGAGTTATCGAGCATAATGCCCACGCGACGGAGCGAGCGGCCCGCGCAGCCGAGGGCGAGCGCAAACCGCGTGGTACCTGGGCTGGAATCGGCTGGGACGACGAGCTGGGCGCGTGCCTAGCGAGGGGGTGCGACGCCCTGGAGGTGGAGGCCTGCGTGACCATCACTGGTCGAGACTTGATGGACTCGTGCAGGCGGATGTGCGCCAATTCCAAGAGCACACTAAAGGCCATAGAGTGGCCTGCACTCGTGACCAATCGGATCGCCCATGGCTTCGTTGCGCTGTCCATCGGGACAGGCCCCGCGATATCAGCGTCGCGGATTGCGTCCCGGCTCGCGACCAGGACTTCGACAATTACCGGTTGCCCGACGATGACTAGCTAAAAGCGCGCCAGCGGCCTGTATCCCACATGGCCATGCAAAAATTCAGATGTTCGAGTCGGTATTGGGAGTCGAGCACGGACGAGACCGGCGAGTGGCGCTAGCCCAGGAACAGGCCAATGAGAAGGATCTGGCCGAATTCCCAGACAGGTGGGCGCGGGGCCTTAGGGAGGAGCTGCGGACCACTTGGGTCGAGGAGCTGCGCGAACTCCGGCGCCGTGGTTTTCCTGGTGGTCGTCTGGCGTCTGGACGGTTGCCCCGATGGTTGTCCCTATGGTTGTCCCGAAGGTTGCCCCGATTGTTGTCTTGATGGTTGTCCCGATGGTTGTCCCGATGTTTGGTAGATAGATCTATGTATATAGGTAGATAAATGGATTTATCGAGAGATGCATGAAAATAAATAGGTCGACCAATATATATATATATATAGATAGCAGACGTATTTGCTGAGTTCTACGGGTCGTTGTTTCACGCAATGAGGCCGCCTCATGTTTTCCACCCTGGAGCGGATGGCCCAGTCTCTCCTTTCGAGTTGTCGGAAGTGAAGAACGAGATCCAGGCCATGAAGAACGAAATCCATGTTGGCGGAGGGCCGGGCCTCAAGAATGGAGGCGGCGTCTTAGTCCGAACCGCCACCTTTCCCTTCAACGATATCATCTTGCACAGCGTTCCGACGCCAGGTGCGTGGAGAAAATCGTCAATCACACTTGTGCTGGTCAAGTATGGGGGCCCCTGGCTCCCAGCCGTCTACAGGCCGATAGCCATCATCCCAGTTTTGCACAAGCTGTTCAGTCGACTGATGGGACGCCGTCTAAACACCTATCCTAGATATGTTTCAGCGTGAGGACCAGGCAGGGTTCAGGTTCAAGTGCGGCACGGACGACCACCTGCTCGCGATTGTATTGCTCCACGAAAAATGCGACGAACGGGGAAGGCCGATATGAGTGGCCACCCCTGATTTCAAAATAGATCTCGACCGCATCGAACACGACCGCTTGCGGTCGGCGTTGCGGAGCCAGGGCGCCCCGGCAGCGCGCTTCACTCTTGCAGGAGCGGTGCCCCTCGCAGCAAGGCGGCATCAAGCACGATCGCACCAGCAAGGGAGTTCTCAATCAACGGGGGCACCAGTCAGGGTGACCCCCTTCAGCCTCCTCTAACGCAGTTTTGGAACACGTGATCAAGCCGCTGAAGGCCGACTGGGCCGCCCGGCATGTGGGGTTCGTGCCCGAGGGCAGAATATTGACGAATCTGCGATTCGCTGTCGTCGTCTTGCTGGCGAGTTTTTCGCTGGCGGGTTTGAACGCAATGCTCGGCGACGTAGCTTCGGCCAGCCGCGAGCGCGGACTAGTGCTGCACCCATGGAGAACAACAATATTGCCGAACGCCCGCTCACGGAGGCGAGGCTGGCCAGCAGCTCAGTTCTGCTCTAGAGCTCTTGACGAGCAGACAACGCCAAACATGTGGGCAGGACGGTATCTTTCCAAGATGCGCACAGGGTGGAGTTAGAGGCCCGGCCTAGAAGCGCATGGAGGAAGTTCCGCGTGTCCAAAGCAGAGTCGTATCCATTGTCGTCGAGAGTCCGCTTGTTCGATTGTGTAATTTCGCCTTGCGCGCTCTACGGGGCTTCCACATTGACTCAGACAGTTGACATGCAGAGAACAGTGCTGCAGGTCCAGCGCCAGATGCTAGGGTTGGCGATTGAAACCGGTCGCAGACGCATGCCGGTCGATCTTCCTGGAGGTTCGGAGAGTTCGGACGCGGGCGAAGCCGATCAATCTGAACGGCACGAAGAGGAAACCGACACCCTCGCACCATGGTCTGACTTCATGCAACGCACGGCCAGGGAAATTGAGCAGCTTTTACATTCTTTGAACATTTTAGATTGGATTGCTGAGCGCGCGCGAAAGAACTTCCAGTTGGCTGGGAGACTGCTCGGTACCGACTACCAGAAATTTTCCCGTGCAGTCTTCGACTGGGACACTGGGAAGCACCGCGAGGTGCGTGACCGCGCAGGCCGGCCAGCTTGGAGGTGGAGCGATTGTTTCGCCAGCTTTTGCGAGTCAGAAGTTGGAGCCGGAGTGAATCGCTGCAAGTTCAGATTCTTGGCACCATTTGGAGGCGCATCTCACGAATTTCCACCACCCGTTGAAGCGTGCTGACAAGCCTTGAATCATATTTTCTTGCTCCCCTGAGAAGGGCAACCTGCTCTGCGGGGGCGTGTCGCTCTCCCCGTTCCCGGGGCCAGCTCCGGCTGCGTAGACCGATGTTTGTATGCTCCTCTCAAGAGGCTCCACCTATGGCCCCTGGGGGGTGGCCACATTGCGTCTTCCCGCCCACTCCACCGCACCCCGCACACGTGGTTCCACCTATGGCCCCTGGGGGGTGACCACATGGCGTACCCCCGCCCATTTCGGCGCACCCTTCACACGCTTCCCGCGCCCCGGAGGCGACTCCACCTATGGCCTTCGCGGGGGTGTCCACATGGCGTCCATCGCCAATTTCGGAGCACTCTCCGCACGCGCTTGCGGCGTGCAGTGCGTCGTGTTGTGCTCGCATATGGCGCGTAGCGCTGTATTGTAACGCAGATATTGCGCGCGGCGTTGTTGCTCGCATTAGAGCATTCTCCCATGACCCCTCCTGCTCTTCTCCCTGGGCCCCCACCCTCTGGCTTTGTGGCGCGTTGGCCGTCGGCTTCCCATGCGCGGTTCGAATCGTGATGGTTGGCGAAGAGTTCAGGGGTGCCGAGGGTCCCTTGTGGTCGTTCGTCGTGTCTCAATGCATCCACATGTCAGTGTGATATTCGCACTGCGTTTCTGAATGGTTTGGTTACTCGGCAGACTCATTGTCCTCTGGCGCGTAACGGTCGTTGCCCAGGCCACACAGCACACACCCCTCGGGGGGGGGGGGCTGGACCTTCCCCCACATGCTGGTGCTCGCGCGTGTACGACAGTGCACACGGACAGTAGTAATGAACGATGTTATAACGTCATTTTTGCGTTTTCTTCCTTCGGCCCATCGTTGGCCACTCTCGCTTGCCGCGCCCCGCCCGAGAAGTGTCGGCATGGCGCCTCCCAAGGACCTTCCATCCTTGTCGTGCACCTTTACTATACGCCTTGCATATATGGCGATCGCGGCGCAGCCCCGCTCCGACGTGCCCCACCCCGCCCAAGCGGTACTGTGACCCGATCGCCCCCCCAAGTACCAGCCTTGCTTCACAAGGTATTTCAAACAAACTGTTCCAAAATCGCAGATACTGCACAATAGTATATATGCTCTCAGGCCCGCGCGGATTTCTCGGACCGGCGGTGGGCCCCCCTGGAGGCGCCTCTGGCGCCGACCCAAGGGAACCCCGTGGGCCTCAGAGAAATTGAGTTGACGCCGTTGTTCTTCCTTTCGTTCTGGGGCATGGTGGCCCTATCCAGGCCTTCCAAAGGCGGCCCAGTCGATGGGGTCAGAGGATGGATCGCGTCGCATCACCGATGCGGTTCGTTGTGGATCCCGACGATCTCCACGCCCAACGTCGCCGACGCATCGCCGACGTCGCTTATGCATCGGCGATGCATCGGTGATTCATCGCTTGTGCAACGCGATCGTTGGACCCCATCCACTCGGATCCGATTCGGGAGGCCTCGGCCCTGAGGATAAGTATAGAATCCCAAGTTGAGCTTTCACTATTTGAGGCCTTTCGTTCTTAGGGGCCCCTCCATCAGGGCCCCACCTTGTGGAACCGCCGGCAGGAAGCACACGCACCGGCCGGGGGACCCGATCGACGCGGACAGGAGTGATTTCCCTTCGTTTGTGTGTTCGTTCAGGCCCGGAGAGGCTTCATGTCGGCTCCTGAGATCGAGGCGTCGCAGTCTGTTTCACACCAGGCGTTCTCGTCAGGTTGCGGGCTCATGCCTCGCAGAAGTGTAGGGTCGATGGCTATGATAGTTTGTGTTGTTGCTTTGTTTCGCGATGCCGGATCTCATGGGCTTTGCTTGGACGGACCCCAGAGATGATCCCGGTCGGCTTGACAGGCGCCCAGGGTAGTCGTCGGGGGGGGGGTCTAAGAGGAGGTGAGGGTTCTGCGAGGGCGATCTCATGGCAGGGGCCATGATATCTCCCCGATCTCATGGGATCTTCTTCTTTTAACACGCCTCCTGGCCCTTCCCTGCCTCGGGCCATGACGCGCACCCGCCCCCTCTTCCTGCCCCCCCCCCTTCGGCGCACCCGCAGTCAGGGGCGGTCTCAACGCCGCGCCAACCCCGTCGCGGAGCTTCCATGGAGTGCCACTGGAGGCGGGGCCAGGGTGTTGAGACCGACCCGGATCGCCCTGGATCGGGAGGGGACCAGAGTATCAGTGACACGTTGCCGTTCGGAGCCCCACAGCATGCTACTCCTTCGTGTTTGTCCGACTGCTTGGTGCACAGTCTTCACCAGCAGCGCGTAGGCGGTTTCGCCACGGCGGCGTGCCATTGATATTGCGTTTGCCCCCCCCCCCCCGGAGGGCTGCTGAGGACTAGCCGGAATCATCTCCAGGGTGCGCCTGTGCGCAGCCTCGAGCCTTGCCTGTTCAGGCTCCCCAGAGAGCACGTGGCGCTGGTTGGCTTGAGGGAGATCACGGATGAGAACCTCACATATTGGAGCAGGACAATGCACAATCAGGCCGTCTCGGGGGCTTCGAAGGAGCAGATCGAGGCCCTCATGGACTTTGCGAGGAATCTCGGCGCGGACGATTTTCACCCTATGATAATCAAGACGCAGGAAGTCATGAAAGACCGCGTTGCCGACCGGATCCTGCAGTTTGCGGAGGAGGTGAAGGCCAAGGACAACCAGAGGGCGTTGGCGGCCGCGCTGAAAAAGGTTGTGCCCACCTTCGGTTTGGCGTCGAAGGACGCGGACCTCGCCGAGCAGCAGATCTTGGCGGCGGAGGAGGACTCAAAAACGGCATAAGCATGAAGTGTCGAAGCTACGTGCGGCTTTCTAGGATCGGCGCTGGACCCCCCTGGCGCCCTGGCCCCCCTGGCCTGATGTGCTTCGCGCTCCAGGGAGTGGGGCCCAGCGCCGATCCAAGAAATCCGCTCGTGGCTCCGAAATGTGATGTTCTGCAGTGCTTCTCTGCGGCAGCTCATGACAGCCTCCTATACCATTTTGCTCGCATTGGCGAATCGAAGCTGGTCGACGCTAATCGACGCTGAATCGACGCTAACCGATGCTAATCAACAACACTCATCGGCACTAAATCGGCGCTATCTCATTGATTACCAGACGCTAATCGACACGAGTGCACTCTAGAGACGGATTCACGAAGGTATACAGACTCCCATGACTTGGTACCGAAGCGTCTCCCTCGCAGGAGGGCGTGACGGCCAAGACGCACCCGCAGCTCGCGACCGCCCTCGAGATCGTGAAGAAGCTCCGCGAGAACGACGGCGAGCGGAAGCGCCTGCTGGCCCGCGACGTCCGGCGCGTCGTGAGGCCGACGCTCAAACAGCCGTCGGGATCGGGAGGCCCAGGAGGCGCCCTGGGCCGGGATCGAAAAAAGCAACAGACAGTCGGCCCGGATTAGTAGGTCGACGCTGCCAAAGCAAGGGTACCCTTGTGTCCTGTGTCTCGCGACCCATGCTTCCTGCATTCCTGTGGCAATGTGGCCCTCGGAAGGGTCTTGTGTCCTCTCGCGTGTCCTGTCCAATCAAGGCCGACTGTACCGCTCCCACCACCCATGGGCGTCCCCAGCATCGCCGCAGCGCGTCCGGCACCGGAGTCTGTGGTGCCTGACGCACCAGGCAGGGGGGCGGTGGCAGGTTCGGGGAGTTACTGGCCGGATTACCGCCCAGGTTCGCAGAGTTAGCCCGCTCCTCCAGACAATAATCATATACCCCCCCCTTCACGCCTGTATTGTCCCCGCCTCGCCCCCATAACGCCCGTTACCGTTGCGAATAAGAAGTGCATTCTATAAAAACCGTCCCCAAAACCATCACGATCATCTGGGAGGAGGCGACAGAGATGAGCCTGAGGGAAGGTCGTCCTGAGCGAAACGGGTTTTGGAACTCGCTGGGCCTTCCCAGGACTATCATTTCATCTTGAATTAGATGAACCAAAGCATAGACATAAATATTTTGGGCTCTGCGATGTCCTCGATCGGCGCTGGGCGTTCTCCGCACGCCGAGGAGGAGTTTCAGCGCAGATCACAAAAATACGCGCGGACCGCCAGAAGTTTGCTCTTATGCAGTTGTTATCATTCCATGGGAGAGGCTGCCGAACCAACAGACCCTCAGGGCACGCGTTGCCGCCGAGCTGGTCCCTCCCGCGTCGCCTGCCAGATTCTGGGCACTTCGGGGCCAACACATGGGTTTCTTTGTTCTCTTAGCGTGCCTCTTGGTAGCAGTCTGACTGCATAGACCTACCTGGATTGCCTAGGACCTTGTGCGATTTCGCTCTCGGGGGCACATCTGCGATCGATCGGCGTCCTCTGATTGGGATTACCAGTCCGCCCTGAATTCGGCTCAATAGCCCGTGAGTCGGGTTTAATGGCCGTCACGTCTCCATGCACGAATACCTCCCAAGCTTGCCTCCCAGTGTATCGCCATGAAGGAAGCGGAGCCCGAGAGAAACGGATCCTAGACCCCGGGCCTTTCCACGGCACCAGATCTTCATCCTCATTCTCAATCGGTTATTGACGGTGCTGGGGCACGCGGAGGGACCCAGGGGTCCAGAGGCGGCAAAGGATGTCCAGGATCCATTTCCCATTCTTCATCCCGTTTTTTCGAAGACTTTCATGGGAGCCACCTCTTTACCAAAGCCACCAGATCTCAGATACCGACGTATCCTCATCCGATGTTGGTAAGGCTTCGGGTTGCGCACGGACAGCCCCCCAGGTTGTCCCGGCTGGCCTCAGCAGGCCTCTGAGCAGTCCCAATTAGCTCAAACAGGCCTCCCGAGCAGCCCAGGGCGGTCTCAACACCTTTGCGCCGCCGTCTCTCGGGGAGCTTGTTGAGGCCGGCTCTGGACTACGCGGGGGCCTGTTGAGGCCAGCCGGGAACATCTGAGGGGTTGACTATGCGCAACCGAGGGAGAGGTTTGCCATCCGGTGATGTCCCAATCGTGGCTTCGTCTCATGACATGGTTTTTTGTTATCATCTAGCGCGTAATGGTTGTTACTCAGGCGAACCCCGCCCCGGGCAACGGCAAATATCGTATGTCGGGGTGGGGGGGGGGGGGGCTGGACCCCGCCCCACATGCTGGTGCTCGCGCGCATGGCGTGGTGATCGCAGCGCACCCCCGCCCCGACGTGCCCCACCCCGCCCAAGCGTGTTACCGGTGCCCGGGGCTCTCCCCCTACACCCTGCGAGATGCTTAAGAAATCATGGGTTAAGAAATTCGTAGTCTCAGAACCTGAATAAAAACCCAACATCTCTATTAAAATCTCAGGGTTTACGTTGAAACATTAAGAATAATCGAGACTCTGGCCGAAAACTTGGGTTTTCTTAAGCATCGCCTAAGGTGTAATCCCAGGTAACGACCTTGCCAGAATGATGTCAGAAGCCCTTCTCGTTGATCCCCCCAGCGCAGCTCGACGACGCGGTTGTCGAGGCGCTGGCGCGCACGCCGCGCGGCGACTCGGGCGCGCCAGACTGAGGCGGGCGGGGGGCCAGGCACAGGGTGTCAGGGCATGACGTCGGGGGGGATGGACTCAGGGGAGGAGGCGCTTCGACCCCCAATCGCCCAGTGATCGCCGTCAGGAGTCCGATGACCCGCTCGCCCCAGGACTGCGGAATGTCTGCCGGGGGCTTGTCGCAGCTCAATTGACGATTTATCGCCGATTCCGAGTCTATGTTTTCCCCCCTGAGATGGCCCCCAAGTTAGGACGCAACTCCTCTGAGGCTGATATCTGAATCGGCGCTTGTATTTTCTTAGTCGAGTGCTGGCCTAATCTGGCGGAGTTCCGCTTAATTTGGTCTGACTCCGTTTAATCCAGCTCAGTCCCGGGCTGAATCCAGCTTAACCCGGTTCAGTGGCAAGTGAGTCGGGCCTAATAGTGTTCACTCGTTCTAGCAGTTCTCCGAAAAGCTGCATCCTGATCCTCCAGCTGCTGTGTTTCCTTCGCCCCGCCGCTGCCCCCGTTGGCGAGTTCACGAGGCTGCGCACCCGAATACGGTAGGTTCATCTCGTGCTGACGCGGCAGCGACCCCGCCGCGGACGTAGAAGGCCGATCGCCACCAGCGGCCGCTAATCCACCAATGCGGAAAATATCTGGCGTGGTAAGGCTTCGGGCTGCGCACAGACAGTCCCCCAGGTAGTCCCGGCTGGCCTCAACAGCAGGCCCCCCGAGTGGTCCCGATTGGCCTCAACAGGCCCCCCCGAGTAGTCCCGGGCGGTCTCAACACCCTACCTCCGGCGTCGCCCCTGGGGCGCTCCGCGCCCCAGGGTTCGGGTGCCGCCCCGGACTATTCGGGGGGCCTGTTGAGGCCATCCCTGGACTATTGCCAAGGCCTTACGGCCAGTGCCGCCGACCCTGAAAACGACGAAGATGAAAACGAGGAGGGGGGGCAGGGGGAGGAGGATGAGTGGGAAGGTGGAGGAAGGGTGGAGGAGGTGGATGAGGGAGGAGGAGGGGGGAAGGATGTGGAGGAGAAGCAAGAGGAGGAGAAGGAGGCAGAGGAGAGCAGGATGAGGGTGAGCAGATGGGGGGGAGGACCTTTTTTGGACCTTTTGGCAAGCACAGCGTGCAAAAAAGGGGATCGGGGAAAAAGAAGGAACAGGGGGGCCAAGCACTAGCACCCCAGATGGCTACTCAATAGCAGCCACCTCCGACTCCCCGCCCTCCCCGAAAGGGGAGGTGGGAGAGTGGGTGGGTACAGGGCTTGCCCCCCTGGCACGCTGTGCTGCAGAGAGGGGGGGGGAGAAGGAGGAGGAGGAGGGGGAGGAGGAGGAGGAGGAGGAGGAAGAGGAGGAGGCCAGAGGCTTTCTTTGGAAAGGCTGGGGCTCTCTTGAGGCCGTCTTGGGCCGTCCAGGGCTCCTCTTGCGCCATCTCGAGGCACTCTTGGAGGCCTCCTGGGCAATTTGGGGCTCTCCTAGGCTGTCTTGGGGCAGTTTGGGGGCCCCTGGCGAGCCTCTTGGGGCCTCGTGGGGCTGCTTCGGGGCCTCTTGGGGGCCTCTTGGGGCTGAGAGCTCGAAATGTCCGTTCGGGTCCCCCGTCTGGGCACTCACTCTCCTGGAGCGGTCTTGGGGGCATCTTGGGCCGTCTTGGAGGCGTCTTGGGCCGTCTTGGGGGCCTCTTGGGCCGTCTTGGCGCGTCCGGAAGCGGAAGAGGCAAGAACGCCGAAATCTTTCAACAATGTATGGGACATCAATGATTTTTGCTTTTTGTGGCTCTCGTGGGAAAGCTCCTGGAGGCCTCTTGGGGCGCTTTGCAGGCCTATTGGGCCGTCTGGAGGCCGTCGAGGCGTCTTGGACAGGACAGATCGTTCGGCGATTCGGGGTTCTCTTGGGGCATTCTTGGCCCGTCTTGGCGCTTTTTGGGGCTCCAGGACTCCCAGGGGGGGCGTCGTATCTGACCCCCGCCCCCCCTCCGGGACCCCTCCCCGACCCCCCCCCCGCCGGCGGGGGAGGGATCGGAGGGGAGGGATCGAAGGGAAGGGGCTTCCTTTTGACTCAATTACGACGTTGCTCAACTTTGCTTTGGCTGGCGCGCTGAGGAGGTCCCTGGGAAAGGGGGGAGCTTCGACGGGCCCAGGGAAAGGGGGGAGGCAGGCAGGGAAAGGGGACGACGGAGACGACGACCAACGAATGACGGAGATGACGACTTGAACGGATAAGCCCCTCACACACGCCGACAAGGTCGGCGGATTCGGGGGCATGTTGAGGCCAGCTCGGGGGGCATGTAGCCAGCTGGGACTATGGGGGGGGCTGTCTGTTCGCAACCCGCAGCCTTACCGATCGACAAGCCGCCGATCATGAAAGATCGAGCGGTCCACGCGGTGTCAGAAGTCAAGGCCAGGGCTGTTCAGGAGGGAAAGAACACAGAGACACAATGAATCGTCGATCCCACCAGAACATGTAGGAAAATGTAGGAACTGGGGGGAAAGACGAAAGCCCAGAAGATATGGGGAAATATGGGGAATCTGGTTATTTGTGCCTATTCATTTGTGTGTCCCAGTTCCCCTTCATGTTGGCCAGGCAGAGCCTGGCCAGCATCGGCGCAGGTTTATACTGGACGCCTTCTGGCGTTGGTGCGGGAGGCGTGCGCCGCTCCTGCCTGAGCGTTCTGCCGGCACGTGTGTCGGCACAAGTCTGTGCCATGCTTAAGGGTAGGGCTTCTATTTGTCTCGATGCCGGTGGGCACCAGCGATGCATCCACGCCGAGCCTGACCAGGCCGATCCTGGGACCAGGATCGGTGTACGTCTTCAAGGGAGGAAGAGCCACCCACCCTCAGCACGGTTTGTTTATAGAGCAGTTGCGCGCTCACTAGGCAGATAACATTATTTTGTTCGATGATGTCTTCGGCAGCGTCTATTGAAGGGCAATCGTTCTGCGGGTGCTTCTTGTGTGCCCTTCCCGGGGAAGGGACAGTTGAGACAGCGGCGACTCTCCTGCCCTTGGGGATCGGGGTCCTTTCGAGCGCGTCCGTCTTCTCAACATCCGTCTTCTCGGCAGCCCTGCTTCTTGAATCTGTATGGGCAAAGCCCCAGACTCGAGTTCGCCGGGACTCGGGTTTACCGACGCGCCTTGACGGCCCCGGTCTCGTGGGATGTGTGTGCAGCGGGAGTCCGCGTCAAATTTCCGACGGGGACTCCTCGTCGTCCTGACGGCCCCGTCAGGCCATCCCGAGGCCCCCGAGCCCGAGCTTCGTGTCTCGACCCCTCCCGGAGTCCCTCCTGCGCTCTCCGAGGCGGGCCCAGTCGTGGCGACGAGGAGCCTCCCGGAGGCCCCAGAGCACGGCGAGGAGGCGCGAATATAATCGCGCCCCGCGCATCGCGGGGCGCGATGCGCGAAGTGAGGTGGCCTGGCTTCGTTGGGCCAGGCGTGACCCGTCGGAGCACCCGTATCCCCTCGGCCCCCGCTGCGGCGATCCCAGACCGGTGCCGTCAAGATGTTTCCAGGATGTCGACCCCCAGGGGTCTCGACCCATCCCAGAGCCCCGCCGTCATTGTTTTTTTCATAAAGTCGATCCCCAGAGGTCTCATCGGGTACCGGCTTCTCGTCCCGAGTCCGTGTTTGACGGTCCGGGGTCCCGTAAGGGCCCCCCGAGGTCGAAAATAGCGAACACAAATCCCGTTTTGATTGTGAAGGCTTTACGGCTTGTGCCGCCGACCCTGAAGACGACGACGAGGACGACGTGGAGGAGGAGTGGGAGGAGGAGCAGGCGGAGGAGGACGCGGAGGACGCGGTGGAGCAGCAGGAGTGGGAGGAAGAGGATGCGGAGGAGGATGAGGAGGAGGACCAGGGGCAGGGAGAGGACGGGGAGGAAGGAGCAGTGGGAGGACCAGGATAACGGGAGTCGGAGGAGCAGGAGAAGCAGGAAACCGCGGAGTTGGGGGAGGAGGAGGGGCAGGAAGATGAGGAGGACGGGAAGGACGAGGTCGAGGTAAGGTTGCGGAGGGCCAGAAGAAGGCACACGAGGGAGGGGGGGAGCATGAGGAGGAGGAGGAGGAGGAGGAAGAGGAGGATGAGGATGATCAGGAGGATGAGGATGATGAGGATGACGATGCGAAGGAGGGGAATGAGGAGGCGGGACAGGGTGAGGAACAGGAGGAAGAGCAGGAGGAACAGAAAGAGGAGGAGGGAGGGTTACGCTTGAGCAGGAGCGGGAGGATGCGGGAGAGCATGCGGAAGACGAGGAGGGGGAGTTGGGGCAGAAGGAGGTCGAGAAGGGTTTTTTTGAGCTCTACGCTCTGCACCGCAACATTCTGCCTGGCCCTCTACTGCGGGGGGAGAGGGACAGATGTGGGCCAGCAGGGCCAGGTGTCAGACGAAAACCGACACAGTCCCTGCAGGCAGAAAGGAAGTGGGCGAGGAAAAACTCGCCACGGCAGACACCTGGGCCGAAAAAGATGGCCAGGAGAGCCGACTAGCCCGAAGAGGGCCGAGAGGAGCCAGAACGGGCAACCTCAAGCAGGCGCTGGGCCAGGACGGCCTGGTGCTTGCTGCGAGCATCCTCCACCTCCGAGGACGGGGGAGGGGGAGGCTCAACCGAGGGAGCGGGGACCTCCTCCACCTCCACGGCAGGCTCGGCAGGCTCAAGGACTCCGTCCACGGAGCTGAACAGGCTCATAATGTTCCCTGTGTGGACCCTGACCTCCCTCTTGCTGTACTGGGGGTGCAGGCCTCGTTTGCACAACGTGTTCCATCCCGTCCGAGTGGTCTTGGTCGGACGGCCAACACATTTCACAGACAAACCGCGAACTCTCTGGCCCGAGGAGTGACAGTGGCAACGCACACAGATGAAAAGAACGCTGCTGTCAGAGCAGTCAAACGCTAAAACACGATGCTCTAGAGCCAAGAGACGGCCCTCATCAAGTTTACTGCGACCACTGCAGGAACCAGGAGGGGGCTCAACGAGGGCTCGAGTGCCACGTAAACAAACTTCACACCTCCACGCTCCCGCCCAGGGTCTCCAGACATGTGGCACGGGCGCTGAGGCAGCCGAGGGCTTACTGAGCAATTCAACACCC